AAGCTACGCACCAACCTCGACCTACTTGACGAGGTACGAGACCTTGCATATATCAGGATCGCGGCCTACCAGCAAAGAGTAGCTCGGTACTATAACGCCAAGGTCAAAAAGCGGAAATTCCACATCGGAGACCTGGTTCTTTGTAAAGTTATGGTGCCTGAGCCTGGTGTTGGTAAGCTCGGCCCTAATTGGGAAGGACCCTACCGAGTAAAGCGGGTGCACGGAGAAGGTACATACGTGCTCGAAACCCTAGAAGGGAAACAAGTACCTCGAGCATTGGACATTGTCAACTTATGGCAATATTACCCATGATCGCCGAGCTGAGTGAACTACAAGTCACTCTCTGAGCCCAAGGGCCAAAATGCCGAGCTAACGATGACCTCAGCACTATAAGACCCAGTCGCCTCTTCAGCATGGGCAAACTCTAGTAGGGGGTCGACCGTAGTCGCTCCCAGAGCCTAAGGGCCAAAATGCCGAACTAACAATGACCTCGGCACTATAAGACCCAATCACCTCTTCGACATGGGCAAACTCTAGGAGGGAGTGACTAAAGTCACTCCCCCATCCAAAGGGCTAAAACGCCGAGCTAACCAAGGGCCTCGGCACTGTAGTGCATAGTATGCCAGGGACGCAAGCAGCTCGGGTATGGACCCTACGGTGCTTAGCCTACCTCGGCATAGAATGGGCTGGACCCGCTAGGGACAGCCAGCAAGTCAAGTACTGGAAGACAGTTTGGGCATATGCCTTACTATGTCACTCACCTCGGGGTATGTTATAAAAACCACCCCTACAACATACTAGGAGACAGTTCGGGGAGGCAACAGATGAGAAACCCTACTTTGTGCACTTAACTATGATAGCTCGGATAATACAATCACTTCGGCAAGTAACAACCCTTGGCAAAAAAAAAACAAATTCCATTAATGGAGAGTTCTATACAATGAGCTCGATAAAAAAGAGAAGAAAAGAAGAAACTAAAACTGAGCTCGTAGGCTCATAGTACAAGGATAACTATTTTGGCTCATCATTTCTGCTCGGGACCTCCTCAAGAGCTTCGGGCAGGTCTGTGACATCCACCTCATCATCGCCACCCTCTTCTTCGGAATCCGGATCCTCTATAGCTTGCCGGGCTATGTCACTCGTGATCCGTGAAGTGGTGATGGCGCTTGTGTCAAGCTCGAGGTATGTGTGCCTTATCAACCACCTGCTGAGCTTGAAGCCCTTACGATAGGCCTCCCCCAGCATGATGTCAAACATGTCCAGCTTGACGTAGTCCATGACGACCTTGACCTTGGTCTCCTCCATGGCCTGGGTGAAGATCTCAGTCTTCTCCTCGATGTCAGCCTTGAGGAACTCCACCTCGTGCTCCAGGACTCCCTTATCATCCTTGAGGCCATTCACCTCGAGCTCTAAAGCCCCCTTGCCTGCCTTGAGGGCATTCACCTCGCTCTTCAGCTCATCCCTCTCGCGTGCCAACTCCTTCTTCTCCGCCATCAGCGCCTCGATGACATTCTTCTGAGCTGAAGCATCGCTCTCCAGCCGATAAATTTGGTCGTGAGCTGCCCTTAGATCGGTGTGGGCTGCGCGAACCGAGTCCTCGGCAGCTATAGCCCACTTCAGGTGCCTCTTGGACCAAAGGGTCAAGGCGTGCATGGTGGAGTTCACCTGACCAGAGAGGATTGGTTAGCACCGAAGAGATGTAAAAAAAAAGAGAGAGAGAGAGAAGGGATATAAGGGGAGAAAGTCTTTATAACTTACCACCATTGTGTGGGTGGCAGCCCGAGCTCCGAGCTGAGCAGGAGTGAGGTCGGCCCAAACGGAGACCTCTTCAGCGTAGACAGCCCCCTTGCTCTTTCAAAGGCTGCACTGAGGAATCAGGATGCTCTAGGCTTAGTCTTGACTCCCCGAGATGGAAATGGCCGTCTCGGCTATACGAATGGGCTCAGCAGAAGCTTCAACCACTGCATCAGCGGCCTCGGTGGCGACCTCGGGCTCCACAGCTGCCTTTGGAGCAGGCACTGCCGATGTCTCAGGCTCCCAAGGTGGTAAGATCTCCTCCAAGTCGATGATCGGAGGAACATCAGGGAGCTTAGGCTCAGAGGTAGGAGCCTGCGGAAGCTCGGGCTCAGAAGTGGGGGCCTGTGGGGACTCGATGCGAGCTCTCTTGGCAGTTCGCTTCTTCCTCCCCTTCATATGGCTGAAGAACCTCTCCCCCTTGAGCTTCTCTTCTTCCATGGGTCCTGCAATAAAGCTCGACGTCAATAACGCAAAGGTATAAACCACAAAGGGAAAATGTTTTAACTCTAGGTAAGACGACCTACCCGGGCTCAAGCCGGCCTGTATGAGCTTGCTCCCGGTGATATAATCCTTGTAATTAAACCCAAACTCAGCTCGTGATTGGAGCGTCTCCCTTGTCTTCTTGTCCAGGATAATGCCGGGGTCTTGAATAGCTGCCCTCCAATGAGTGGGTAAGGGCCACCCCACGGTGTTCCGCACTTCAAAGTAGTCCTGTTTCCAGGCTGGGACTTTGCTAGGAAGCTTGTGGAGTAACTTGAAACCCGGGCGAGGGGACAGGTAGTAGGCCCGCCTGTGCTCGGGGAGAACGCTTGAAGTGCTCTTCTTTATTGATAGGATCGAGCAAAAAATATCTAAGTTCAAAGGAAGGACGTACTCAAAGCAAAGGGATATGGTCCCGACCACGTTACGAACGGAGTTCGGGTGAAGTTGGTCTATTGTGACGTTGAAGTGGTTCAGGACCTCTATGATAAGAGGGTGGAAAGGAAGACGGAGCCCGGCTATAAGCTGCTCTCGGAAGATCACGATCTCGTCAGGATTGTGCTCCCATGGGAAGTTACCCGCAGGAAGACTGTTGGTATACTCCCTAGGTAGATTGTATTGCCGGATGAGGTATCGGAGCCTCTCCAGGGTCATAGTGGAGGGACTGAACCTATCCGGCATCCGACCTCGGTGAGAGGTGGACGCTAGATTACCCGAGGCCTTCCGCGCCTCGTGAGACTGGACTTCAGTGAGATCACCCTGAGCCGAGGTACCTACCTCAGGCTCATCCAGTTGGTTATCGAAGCTAGACATAGTGGAGAAAACCAAAATGAACTGGAAGGAAAGGAAACTGAAAGAAAAGCAGAGACTCACCAAGGAAAAGCAACCGAACTAGGGAGAATTGACCCAAGCTGGAGACCTTAGACGCGAGCTCAAGACGAGTGCTAAGGACTTATGGCAAGGGAAAATGACCAGGATCCCTGCTATTTATAGCCACTATACTCAGGCATCAACGGTCAAGATCAAGACAATCTGACGGCTCTCAAGAAAACTAGCTACGCGACCCCCGAGGCGAAATCGGTTTATCGCGTTTTTTGACGTCCGCGCGTAGACTGTACGCGACCCGGGCTGCCCTTGATCGAGCCGAGCAGTGAAATGGTTTGACCAATAAGCCGCCTGACCAGGATGCCAGAGCTCCGAGCCAAATCCACCCAGCACACCGCGGACTCCCCGCACTAGGTCAGAACCCCCAGCACGGGGACACGTGGGTACAACCTGGCATAAGTGACAACTCAGCGTGGCAACCTAGCCATAACTCGGCGTACTGAACTTGCCGGAGCCTAGTGATACAACTCGGCGAACGTAGCAGCTTGCCGGGAAGAAACATTTAGCATACTCCGAATTCTCCCCAAGGGATGAGGACTCCCGAGCTCCTCCCAGTGGGCCCCGAACTCTCCCTTCCTGAGAAAGGGAACACCCCGATCTACGGGAAGTGTCCCGAAGTGTTCCCACTTCGGGATAGCCCCATTGACGCTCCCGCCCATATTTGCCTAAAGCTCGCCTCGAGCACTCGCACCTCGGCTACCCCAGCACCCCGGTGTAGGGTAGCTCGGTGCAAAAGTAGCTCGGCAACCTGCAGAAAAGATCTGCCTGACAATAGTACCTGCCGAATCTGGAGGCTGTGCCCACGTCTCTTGTTAGGCGGCATCGTGCTTGCCACTTCTGCCATATGTGGCATGCCTGATAGGTCGATACCCTGTAAYGGTTGCCCACATCCACCACCTCGGCTCTGGCAATAACGACTGTGGCAGAGGCGGTTACACCTGATTTGAGAGATCTTCAATATAAAAAGACCCTGACCCTCGAGGAGAAAGGTATTGAACTTGCGCCATCTGCACTCTCAACTCTTTATTTGTATTCTTCAACCTTCTCAGAGTTCTAACTTAAGCATCGGAGTATTCCCGCCAGGCGAGCTCCCCGGGAATTCTTCACCTTCCTCATCGTCTCATGTACCGTTCGTCATCAGTTAGGAGTCAGGTTTCCGCCAGCTAAGAGTGCCCGGATCGCGCAACATCACTATTATTTATCTTTCGCTTAATAGATCTCGTGCATCACATGGGTCCCTACTAGTTATTATTAAACCAGAATTGTTTGTAATAATCTTTTTTTTTGTTTACCAAAAGAACCAGAATTTAAGTATTTGTTAAAAACCCTAGGGGTAGTTAAATAAATTTTCAAAAAATAAAAGTCATAGGCCCAAAGCCCGGCACGGACCCCGTTGTTGCCCAATCTAATATGTAACCCGTCCGAGTCAACCATTCAACCTAGTCAACCCAGAAGGCATCATCACCAATCACCATGGACTTCCATGGATCGGGACTCTGGAAACCCGCTGGGGTTTATAAAGCATGAAGTGGTTTTTTCTTTCCACTCTCAGATCTGTGTAAACCCATTCCATCTCTACACCGTCTGTAATCCTTAACTGCAGGTAATTCTCTCTATCTAAAATCCCTCACATTTCCATCTGCGAAATCTCCAAATTTGCTTCGGTTACTAGAGAATCAACATGCTACGCTTTGCTGTTCTTCAACCATAGAAAATCATGCGTTCTAAAAAGAGTGGAAGAAAAGCCATAAGACAACACCAAATATCTTGAAATTGTAAATTTGTAACAGTTGGCAGATAGCACATCTCACCGAGTTCAGATGCGTTTATTTATTTATATTTTTATATTTACATTTTTTATGAGCAACACCAGTTCACTCGTTATCACAAATTCACACTTGATTGGTTTTCATGCCCAAATCCGTATCTGCGAATTTGTAACGTTTAGATCACCCACATTCTTATCCTTTTAAAGGCGAAAGAAGTTATACTTATGCGAAGCAGGATTTATTGCTCAGGGCATATCGAGGCAGAGTTACCAATGGCGGGTGCGGCGGGTGGGTTCATCACTCGGTCCTTCGAGTCCATGCTGAAAGAGTGCGCGGGGAAGAAGTATGGCGAGCTTCAGAAGGCTATCCAGGCCTATTTAGGTTGTTTTTCTTTATCTCAATTTCCTTGTTTTTAAAATTTACTCTTATTTATTATTTTGTCTTATTGATGTTTACCCTTCTCAAGAGAGGATCTTCTCTCTAAACATAATTCACAACGTTGATTGCTTCTATCTAACTGTGAGAAATATTAGATCGGACATAGATCCATGTATATATGTGTTCACTGACTAGAACAGAAGCGAAGAACATCAATGACAATTTGTTCAAACCAACAACATGAACATTAGGAGTGCATCACGAGGAATCAAAACTATTTTTTTTTTTTAAGATAAATAAAAAAGAAACTTTATTAATGAGAAAAAAGACAAAAGCGTCTTGGGTGACAAGATGTCACCACCCAGCAATACAAAAGAGAAACTACATTATAACCATACTAAAACAGACCAGATTCGAAGCCCATTCAAAATTAAACCAACAAAGTAGACCAGAAATTCGAACCAAAATCTTCTTTTTCTTTGGCTGCTTATACATTCTGGAAGAATTAAAACCCAATCAATGAGCTTTGAGCTGATCGTTGCCACTAATTTTTATTTGCTCTTCATCTTTCCATAAAAAAATCTTCTATTGCTGAAAAGCTTGAAGGAAAAAGACCATATTCTTTTTACAAAAAGCTTTTTGGGTATTCTTGAAATTCAAGCTTGTAATGTGAATCTTTTTCATCTTTATTAGCTCTATTGGTGTGTCATGTTGACACCCATTCAGCTTGTAATGCCTTTTTTTTCCTTAAATGAAAATTTATTCTTTATTCTTAAAAAACATAAATCAAATAGATTTTTTCCTTACTAGGAGAATAGGAAGAATGATGTGTAAAGATTGCAAAGTTAGTCTGTTAGAAGCTTAGCAACATAGTATAGATTAGTGGTGGTAGATGTACACATTAGGAAATGGAAGAGAAATAAGGAAGAAAATAGGCATCCAAGAATTTGGTTTGAATGGCAAACAACATAAAGAAAGTAGCAGAGCCAGGACCTAAAAAATACAAATGGGTATACAGAAGGAAAGGAATAAGAGGTATTGGAACTTCTGATTCGGATCAGATGGGGGTGGCGGTCCAACTTCAGCCACAATCTCCTACTTTGAAGGAATAACAGGAAAAAAGGTGAGTGATGTCATTACTGGCTCTAGTAGAATCCAGCTGATGCATGAGACTGACAGGGTTGAAGAAAACCCAAGCAGTGTGGATATCCAGAAATTAGTTGACAGAGGTTATGGTTGGGAAAAGCTTGGGCCTGCTATTTTGGGGTGGCGAGGAATTTTCCAGGGAGGCCTTTGAGATTTTTGAAAGTAAAAAGGATGAGAAAGAGAAGAAAAAAGCCTATATTTAGGGGAACAAGGTTTAGGACAAGGATTTTGCGAACCAAGAGGATGAGTTTACAGATCAAGATTGAAGTGTGCTTCAGGGTGGGCTTGCAATTCTAGTCTAGTGCCGGTTTGGTGTTTGTTGTCTTCTGGGTCCTTTTTGGGCCTTCGTTGATCTTTCTCTTGGTTTTGATTGGTCTGTTTTGGGTGTGTGATAGGGTGCCAATAGGCCTTTTGGTTCTCTTGGGGTTGCTTTCTTGTTTCCGGGGATATCTTATCACCCATGCTGTACTCATTTCTTTTTTTCTTTTAATGAAAATGTTATTTTTATTCTTCAAAAAAAGAAGAAAGTAGCAGAGGATGTCTTAATAGAATTAAAGGAAAATGGAAAAGTACTAAAGAAACTTGGTTGTGAAATGAAGAGGTTCATAATATAATCAAATTAAAACGAGCATGCTACAAAGAATGTCAAAAATCTAAAAATGCAGAAACTAGGAAAAATATAAAACCATAAAAAAGAAAGTTAAAGAGAAAGTGAATGAATTTAAATGTAGGGCTTATATTGAGCTTTACCATAAATAAGGCACTAAAGAGGGAGAAAAAGGAATGTATGAACTAGCAAAGTTGAGAGAAAGGAAAGCCAGAGATTTAAATCATGTTAGGTGCATTGAAGATGAGAAGTCTTGGTAAAAGATGAGGAAATCAAACAAAGATGGAAAAACTATTTTGAAAAATTACTAAATGAACAACAAGGAGATTGGTAGTGTTAAAAATAATATGTATCTTCTTAGAGTTAGATATACTGAAGTGAAAGAGGCACTACATAAGATGAAGAAGGAAAATGCGTTAGGACTTGATGGGTTTCCAATAGAAGTGTGGAAAGGTATGGGAGAGGTAGGCTTCTTATTATGGCTAACTAAACTATTTAATAAGATTGTAAAAGAAAAGAAGATGCCTGATGATTGGAGAAAAAACAATATGATGCCTACATTTAAGAACAAAGGTGATATACAAAGTTGTAATAACTTTTGGAGGATTAAACTCATGAGCCACACTATGAAACTTTGGGAAGAATAATTGAACAAAGATTACGACTTGAAACAAGTGTATCAGGAAAGCAAGGATAGTTTGGAGCGGCATTCCCTTCGCAGTATGTTGGGTCCTATGGAATGAAAGAAATAGAAGACTTTTTGAAGACAAATAAAAAAAAAAAAACATTGGAACACTAGTAGCTTTGGTTGGGAAGCTAGTAGCAGATTGGATTTGGGTGCTACCAGATTCTGATCAAATCAGCCGATTAGAGACGGGGGAGAATTTTTGGAATGTTCTTGAAATTCATCTATTGTAATTTGGATTAGTTTTTGTTCTTAATTAGAGTTTGTTTTGATGTGTGTGGTGAGGTGCCACCTTGTCACCTATGGATTGTAATTCACTTTTTTTGATTAATGAATATTCATTTACTCTTCAAATAAAAAAGTGTATCAGAGAACCAATTTGGATTTATGCCAAGGTGATCATCGTGGAAACTATATTTCTTTTGAGACAATTGATAGAAAGGTACAGAGAGAAGAAGAATGGTTTCCATATGGTGTTCATTGATCTAGAAAAGGCTTATGATAGAGTTTCTAGAGAGATAATATGGTGGGTCTTGAAAAAGAATGGGGTTCAAAATAGGCATGCAGACCTAATTAAGGATATGCATAAGGAGGGCAACAACCAATGTTAGAAAACTAGTGGGAGAGACTTTAGATTTTATAGCTATGATGGGTCTTCACCAAGGTTCAACACTTAGCACTTAACTATTTGCATTGATCATAGATGAATTGACTAAATATGTTCAAGAAGAAGTTCCATGGTGCATGTTATTTGCGGATGACATTGTTTTAACTAATGAGATTCTTTCTCTTGTGATTCTTTCTTGGACCTTATCCCCCTTTGGTGCTTTCTTTTGTGATTCTTTCTTTAAATCCCTGGTGACTCTCTTAGAGCTGAGATTTTTGCTTTATTTATTTTTTGATCAATAACATCAATTTCATTAAATTAAGAGAATAGAGGGAAAGGAATACAAAGGGAGATAAAATAACTTAGCTTCCCAAAAATCAGAAAACTCAGGGAAAGCAAAGAAAATTAAAAACTAGCCCAGAAAACAGCCTCCCTATTCACTCCTTGCTTGGCCAACCCATCCGCAATTGAGTTGGCACTCCTCTTCACCCAGCTGTACTGAATCTCTATGTCCCTACCCAGCCATAAGAACTGTTTTTTCTCATTGTWAAAGTTCCACAAACCACTGTCCTCTGTCTTCAACCAATTAAYCACCACCTTYGAGTCACCTTCCAGAATCAAACGGCTAATATTTAGATCTTTTGCTCTTCGAATTCCTTCAAGCGCTGCAAGGATCTCAGCCCTAAGAGAGTCACCTTCTCCAATAGGGCCAGAGAATAAAGCAGTAACAATCCCTTCCTCATTCCTGAAGACTCCTCCAATCCCAGAGGGCCCTGGATTCCTTACACTGCTGCCATCAAAATTCAGCTTTAAAAAGCCCGAGGGGGGAGGGGACCAGAACGGACAAAGAGTCCTCTTGCATCTTGCAGTRARAGCAATCTCTTTCCAGTTTCTTAGCAAGTCATCCATAGGACAATCTGAAAACAACTCCAAAGATTTTAGCCAGTGGACCGCTCTTATAAGGATTCGATCTAACAAATCTTCCAAAGTTTTTTCCTTGTCAGAAAATATGCGCGAGTTTCTTTCTTCCCACAAAGACCAGCAAACCGCTGCCCTAATACACCTCCACATAGTCTTCCCTCGCTTCTTAATTATTTTTTTTGATATCTTTTGAAAGGCTACACAACGGGGGGTAGCCCATCCCCCAACCCATAACCCCCCCAATCCAGGTGTAGGTGGGATTCATGATCCCAAGTATCTGCTACGACCAGAAGGAGGCCTTACCAACCAGCTGGTTGGCAACTTGCGAGATTTTTGCATTATTGGAAGGATTAAGGAAGGTAAAGGAGCTGAATATTCAAAAACTAGTTGTTGAAGGAGACTCCAAGCCATTTTTAAGCTGGTTTCAGAAGGACAATAGACTTTGGAAATATGCCAATGAGAGGAGGGAGGTTAAATGGCTAACTAGGGGTTGGAAGTTCAAGTTCACTGGGTGAAGAGAACCACAAATGCTTTTGCGGATACTTTGGCGAAGCAGGGGGTGGGAAGGGAACAAATGTTTTGGGCTATTTTATAATTCCTTCTTTCTTGTTCTCTTGGGGAGAGTTAAGTTATTTTATCTCTCCCTGAAGTCCTGTATGTAAGTTATATGTTTTTTAATAATATGAGTTTCTATTATTGATAAAAAAAACTGTCGTAACTTGTAAGGCCAGCTATGTTGTATGGAGCAGAGTGTTGGGTAGTCAAGAAACAACTTGTCCAAAAAATGAATGTGGCAGAAACCAGAATTGTGAATGCTAAGATGGATGGATGGAAAAACTAGAAAGCATAGGATCATAAATGAAGGAACCCAGGAGTAGTTCAAATAGGTGATAAAATGAGAGAGAGAGAGAGAGTAGACTAAGATGGTTTGGTCACATGCATAGAAGACCACCAATGGTTCCAGTTAAAAGAACATGGGTTGAAGTAGTAAGAAATGATTTAGGCACTAATTACTTAACAGTGGCTATGACTTTAAA